CTCTCGCTCTCTCGATCCCTAGTCAAACTTACTCAATTTACTTAAATGTTAAAAATATTTTTTTAATAAATTGTTAAGAATTAATTGCCTGTAAAAAATTATCAAAAATTTTTTAGCTGTAAAAAAATAGTCAAAAATTTTTTTCTTTTTGCAATCTTGGTGAGAAAACAGTAAGATTAGCGAACATGCTCGCTGCAATATTCTGCAATTAATACTAAGCTTTGTTACAGCAGCAGGAACAGCATTTGTATGTTGAATTATTCATAAATCGATGTTATGTGAAAGCTGCAAAAAAAAACTGGTATGACCTGCAGGAAAACTGACGTCCGCAAACGCAGCAAGCCACGTATCCACAATAGTAAAATCTATCTGGTCCTCAGAGGAGCGCCCAACCTGAAAATTCAGGGAACATGTTGACAGCACAGCCGGTCACGAAATGAATTTCAGCACCAATAAACTATCATCAGCATTTTTACGAATAAAAAGCATGGTCTTTAGGATATGCAAATTTCTTTGCAAGTTGCCAAGCAACAGCAAGTAAGTGACAGACCGGCCTGCAAGACTTTTTATGCATTTTTGCGTATATGTAAATTGCAAAAACGCATATTGGGAAGAGGCTGTGTGTGCGCGTGTTTTTGTCTGTGTGTTCGTACTATTTGTTACCCACTTTCAACTCGAGAACCAGAAAAGCCAGAAGGCTGAAACTTTGGGAGTATGTGCCCATATCATGCGCGACCCTCCCGTTTTAATTTCATCTCCCTCAGGCACCTGGGTGCCGTGTACGGAAGTATTAAAAAAATATGCAAATTTTTTGGCGGGAAAGCGATCTCGGAAATCACACGAGCTAAGGGACTGAAACTTTGTAGGGATATTCCCTGTGCATGCACTAGCTAAAGATTTCAAATTCAGCCCCCAGGTATGCGTGGTACTCACGTAGTAGGGGCGTATGGAAGTTTTAGGGGGAAATTGCTAACTTAGGTACTAGGGAGGCTAAAAAGCTGAAATTTCGGGAAAGTGTTCGTTATCCAAGTACAACTCAAATATTTCAAAATCAGCCCCAAGCTATGCATGATACTCACGTAAGGGCGTATGAAAGTTTCTGCAGGAAAATTACTCGGCAATAAGAAATGCAAGGCTGAAATTTAAGGCGGATATTCCCTGCCCACATACAGCTTTCCAAGTAGGTGGAGTACCCAAGCACGGGTATGTGAAGGTTTTAGTGGGAAAACTGTTAACCCGGTAACCAGAAAAGCTGGAAAGCTGAAATTTTGAGGGAGTGTTCCCTGTTCAAGTACAACTTAAGTATTTCAAATTCAGCCTTGAGGTATGCGTGGTTCTTACGTACGGGCACTTAAGTCATGGACGAAAAAATTTCTCACTGAACAACTAGGTTACTTTTAAAGAACGACTGCTAAATGGAAATTGTAAATTTACTCTACAGAATTTATGGTGATTTATGCTAGTGACCGCAACAAGTAGGTGTAAAGCAACAGCCATTCGTACAGTTAATGACCTGAGTAATACAAATCCGATGTAAAATTTATCACTCACTTTCAGTTTATCAATCAGAGAAGCTAGAAAGCAGAAATTTTACGAGGATGTTCCCGACCTATGTGTGTCTCAGTGAACCCAAAACGAATTCTCATGCACGCCTAACTGTTATTTAAGGAAAGCTAAAGGAATTAGAAAAAAATCCTGGCGGGAAAACATCCCTGAGAACCAGGCAACACAGGAAACTGAAATTTCGCTAGAATGTTCACTGTAGCCAGAGATTTCAAATTCAGCTATCACATACGCTTACATCACGTCAAAACTAGCACACCAAAGTTCAAATTCATAAACTTCCTGAACTACGCCAACTAGAGGAGCACGCAAAAATAAAACCTATGACTTCAAGAGCACATTTGACATTTCCGTGTGGATTCGTAAGCATAAAATCAGTAGTCCAATCAATCTCTGTCAAGCATACTGGTGCGAGATGCGATTTTAGGAAACAAAAAAAAAGCCATGAAGATGAAATTTTACAAAGAC